TCATCAATATTGAGACCACATATCTTAAACATTAAAAGGGATCTTTTTCTGGAAAATACATCAATATATAGTATAACTTTTTTACTTCAAACTAGTATAAAACGTAGAAATGGGTCCTCTCTAGTTAATTTAATCTTAGTTCGAGAAGTTGGCAGAATATAGAAGAAATGAACATCTCGATAAAAGTATACAATTTTTCCTTTCCTTATTTTGCTCTTTGAGAAAAATAACGTAAAAAACTTCTGGTTCAAGATTAAAGCTTAAACCAACGTAAAAGACACATATGCACGAGCACATGAGAAAAATATATGAAGCGGAAGGAAAATAAGATCAAAGAAAGGAAAGTAAACGAAGTGTATTTGATGTCTGCTGTTGAATATAGTGTAATATACCGTGAACGCCTCGAGCGGAGCCACCGGGTCCAAAAATTGTCAGGATCCCGACGAGATCTTTGCACCATACAACGTAACTCGTCACGCTGATTTCAAATATGTAAAAATCTCTAGGGTCGCTTCTCTAGAAATGTTTGGTCAAATTTTGATATGGTTGATCCAGTCATAATGGTTGATAAAGGAGAGCTAAAACTGCTGAGAAAAATAGCTTTTCTTCCATATTTGCACGAACATACATTGTTCATTAATTAGGCATACATCTTGTACGTAAAGTATATCTAAATTAGACTATCTCATACCTTCTGCTTTTATCACTTTGACTTCTTTGTTCTCTCACATAAATAATTCTAGTCATTATTCTGGCTACAAACATTAAAAATTGCAATTTTCTTGGTCCTTTTGTTGAAAAGTTAAAATAGCTTGTCATCATGACGAACATTTATTGTATCAGTTGGGATAAAAAGTAGAAATCGATATTATCTAATTAATTTATTTTACTTCGTGAAACTGACAGAGTAAACGCTAAATTCATATTGTTTACTATCCTTTGGCAAGCTAAAGATGGATGAGTTTCCAGGATAACATAAAAGGTTTTCTTTTCTTGCTTTGTCCCATAATCTATTGACGTGTGCATAAAAGAGAAATGAAAAATGATAATATCAAAAGAAAGGAAAATGTAAGGATGAGGATGTTTGACAATTAATAATAAATTGAAGAAGAAGAGAAGTAAAGCGGAAAGATAACGAAAACGAAAGGAAAAGCTTACCAATTTCTTTTGAAAAGTTGGTTTTTTGATTTTTTAATTTTTTTGTGTACTAAGAGAAGTACGAAAGATGGAATAAAGCGCGAGAAATAAGAAGAGAATGTTGCTTGAATAAATAATAACGAAAAGAGATCTTTTGAAATTTTAGTTTTATTTTGTATAAAAAATATATGTACTTTGTAAAAACCACAACGAATATTTAATAAAAGGAAAAACAGAAAATGTACTCACAAGAATTTAAACGCGTTTCGAATTATCTTCATCAGTAGATGCTCGTGAACTGATGACTAGTATTGGAAATGAGTGTGGCTTATATACAATTTTTTGAACAGACACGATAGAGACGGACAGACGTGTAGAAAAAAGAAAATGAAAGTATTATTCAAAGGGAGAGTGATTTATCTGAAAGATTTTTCTGAAAATAGGGAGATATTTTTCAAAGAGAGAGAAATCAGAAAATGGAATTAGAGAAATTTAGAAAATGTTTTTGGAGAGAATATTTTGGAGAGCGAGAGACCGGAAGTGTGATTAAAAGGTTTTTGGCAATAAATGATGAAGATAACGATAAAAAGGAGCAACCTCCTGCTTTGTTGAAATAAATAAACTGTTGCTAGAGTGTGTATGTGATCTTGCCGCTTAGCGCTGCATTGTGTCTGAGTTGCATTTGAATTGACTGTTGGGCTGTTGTACGTGCTGATTATTGTTTGTAGTTCATGGTTGAAGCTGTTTTCCCTTGTTTGTTTTGGTGGTCATCTAAAATTAGTAGGAAGAATTCGGCAGCACACACATGCTAACATGCTTTAAATTCTGTCTGGTGGAGGACGGAGGATTTGTTCGGATGGTTTCTTACGAACAAGCATTTGAGTTAAATTTTCAGTCGGGCGATTTGCAAAAATTGGATGGACATCTGTGAGGGATGTGTCTTCAAATGTTTCCGTCCACATTTAGTAGAATTTTGGTCCGAAGCGTGAAATGGAAGGTACATATGAAAAGTGACGGAGCAAATCTTCTTTGGGGTCAATTTGTTTCGGAGTGGTCGGTGGCTTGTCCAGTTCTGATCTCTAACATGTGTGCGACAGTATTCATATTTGCTTTGGTTGTGGAAGAGAGATGCAAGATTACGGAGACGGACATCTTTGGCAAAGCGATCGTAATGGGCGTCAATGAAATTAGATGGATAGTCGTTGAGTAGGAGGCGAATTCGGATGTCAAACATTTCTTTTTTACAATCTGCAACGTTTGAACAGATACGGAGCGCTCGAAGGACTGCTGCATACGGGATGTTACGTTTTATGTGGATTGTATGGGAAGACTCGAAGGGCAAAATATATGGCTGCAGCGGGTTTGCGGAAAACAGTTGTGCGGAAGTGAGTGCTTGGGAGTCCTTTAAAAATCGTGACGTCTAACTAATCTACTGAGTCTCCGGTTGCGTAAGTCAGTCTTATGTGTGGGTCTTTGGCATCGAGTGTTTTTAATAAGTGCACAAAGTCAACGAGAGGTCTTTTCGTGGTTAGATATATGTCATGTCTAAATCTCAGATATATTTCTTTTTCGTGCAATTGCATTGCTAGAATGTTGTGTTCCCACTCCATCATATACGTCAGCTAGTACTTGGGTCACTGCTGATCCCATCGCGCCATCTTTGATCTGTTTATAATATTTTTTGCCTAATGGAAAAAATGAGTTACTGAGTATGAAACGTAACATTCTGGAGTAGTGTCTATCGTTATACCGTTTATTTTGTGATTTTTTGTTTTTGAAAGAAGGCGACAAACAGCGGAAACGGACTCTTTCTGAGGGATCATAGTGTATAGGTCAGTGATGTCAATAGTAAACTGTCGCGTCAATGGAGATATAGCTGTCAATGTGGTCTAGAAACTGAAGAGAATTCTCTAATGTGTAGTGCGCAGTTGTTTTATCAAAAATAGGACGTAGCATTTGGTCGAGGAAAGTTGAAAGCTTAGCGGTGGGAGAATTGATTCCGGCAACAATTGGACGAAGCGGCTCACCTATTTTATGATCTTTGGCGTTGTCGTATAGATGCGGTAGTTCACACTCGTCTACGGAGGGTTTTAATTTCTCGTATTGAGCCGGGATAATACGTTTCTGCGTGAGAAAAAGCTTCAGAAGTCCGTCTAAATCAGAAATGGTGCGTCTGAGAGGGTTACTGGAGATTTCTTCATATGCGTTTGTTTTCTGCATATGGGTGTCAGATTTTTCTTGATAGGCCTCAGGGGTGTCTTGATGGAATATAGCGATATACTTTTACTTTTATTTTACCAATTACTTTCTTTACTCTATGTGTTTTGATATGTTGATAAAAGAATAATCTTTTGACACATAGCGGTTAATTGTCTTTAAAGAAGTGATCAAATCAATTAGAGAAGAAAATGAAGCTTCTGTATACATTTATATAAAATTATTATAAAATGAAATGTTGTGTAACAGCGGAATACAGGAATAGTCGCGAAATAGAGGAACAGCGACCGACGGACCGGAATATATTTTGAAACGCTATCTAAGATTAAAGTATTTCTTGCCATGAATCTGACGACATAGTGATATTTGCTATCGATACATAAAACGATACTGATAAAAAGTATTTGGTTAGAGGGGAATTTCATCGTCATAAACAACAGGATGAGTACTTACATGTGTAAGTAGACCTGTGCACCGGTCGGAAAATCGGCGGCGGCGTATAACAGAAGTTTTTCGACCAGCGGCGGTGGCGGAACCTCATTCAAAGATTTTCCGCCGTCGGCGGCAGCGGCTAAAAGAAAATGTTCAATCGGCGGCTGAAAGATTATTTAAGATTTTCATCGTCAGCGGAGGGATCAACCACAACCAAATTTGAGTACAAAAAGCTTTAGTTTAAACCAAGATCCATTGTCAATTTCATCAAACTTTTATTGTATTTTCAATCAAAAATCTAAAGTTCAATTTTGTCTAACTATTATCGAAAAAATCTGAAGAAAGAAGAGTATTAACAGTATTAAGCAGAAAAATACCAAGAAACAAAAGCTGCTCTGTTTTTAATCCTTAAACATACTGTAATTATCATGTATGTATTGTATCTTACCCAATTTTCTGGTCCTAAACTGAGACGTTTATGTGATGTTTGGATACCACGTGGACAGGTTTTTCGATGTTTTCGGGACCTTTCCTCCCTCTCGAGAACATTCGGCTACTCCGACCACTCACTCACCCTGTCCACATGGTCAGAAATTTTTGGAATTTAAACTTATAAAAATGGCCAATTTTTTTTCATTCATAGGAATGTTTTATTATGATATTATTCTCTTTATATAGAATTTATCGTGGTTTCGTGCTTTTGCTTTCCCTTGAAGTTTCCCTTCACAGCCCTTTGTGCCTTTCCATCTTCTCCTAGGAGCCTAATCATCACATGAATGACTTGTGTCTATTCAGAGATTAGATGACATATGAAGCATCTAGTTACAGTTATAGATAACTTGAAACTACAATGAGATTAATAACTCATCGAAGTTCACACTTCAACAAGTAAGTGAGAAAAATGACGAAATTTGATTCGAAAATGAATGTTACTTATATTACTTTGCTTTAGCAAAACAAAACAGGTGAATGAAAATCATGCGTACCGCACTGAGACGTATAGAATGTGCCTTCAAATAAGTATTTGCTTTACGTGTTTCAAATGACGGCATATAATTATATAGATACGGTAAAAACTACCATTGTACAAAACATTTGTAGATATGTTCTGCTACAGGACACCGTTCTTTTGCTGGACACTTTTAAGCGCCTTAAATTAGACACATTTTTGTTTTACTGTGTAGTAGTCTTACCACGGATCGGGCCGATGATATTCACTTTAGGTCATTTAAATAAGACTCAGTGAGCATATCACTATCATCCATTGCATCTTTCAAGTGCTCTTCACTATCTCTTCGAAATAAAATATAAAGATTCATTGAAGGATACTTTATTGATGATGATAATATTTTTGTTGAATCTTCAATTATTTTTAAAAATGATACTAGTTCGTGTGACATTTCAAGTTCATTCGGTGAAAGTTGTAATGTATCGCAATTTGATCGTTCTGAACGTTCTAAACGATCTAAAACTGGCTTAATCTCCATCTCCATTATCAATAAAACTTCGTAACATTACTAGAACTGTATTCCATCTTGTTTTTATACGTTTTTTCAATGATTTGTATGTTTGGATCCAATTACCTATTGTTGTTTTTCCTGTTAACAACGTTGTAGAGGCTGTTGTTACTTCATTCGATGGACTTGTCTCAAATAGATCATTTTTTCCTTTTTTACCTGGTGTTTCTTCATCAGAATCATCATAAGTCATTGACGCTTTTTCTTCAGCGTCAAGACATTCTCCACAATTATTAATTATTCCAAATACAGCATTTGATTCGATTTATGAAATTCATTCTCTAATTCTTCATGTCTATATCTAAGTGTCGATATAATTGTTTGAACTTTTTTCAAAAGTTCTGGAACATCATAAGCTTTTGATAAACTGTCTACCATAACTAAATTATGTAACCCATGTGCTATACATGGTAAATAAATAATCTCAGATTTTTTCCATGCTGAAACAATATTCGATCCTTGATCAGATACCTGAAAAGCGAACAGAAAAGTTTTTGGTTAGACGGTCAATTGAATGATAATAGACGTTTCTCAAAGACAAAAACAGTGCAGCTAGTCCGGATTATAACTGACGCTACAAACTTCAAATAATGGAAAACATTGTAAGGTATCTTGTTTTATAGCAGAGCTTTTTTTAGGTACTATATGAAATTCTTTCAAAATCTAAAAAAAGTTTTGAATAGACAAATAAAACAGGTTTCAGAAAGTGACAAGTAATCATTAACTCCTTAGTGTTTTAGAATCTTATTCTTTAGCACATGGGACTGTTTACGGACCGTAATAAGATATAAATCGTAAATTACAGTTTATATCTTATTCAAAAGATGAGAAATTTTGTTTTCATCCTGGTACTTAAGGTGGTGAGAAGAGAGGGCACGGCAAGATTCATTCGGACAGGTTACTAAAGAATTACCTATTGATACTAAATTTTTCTAACGAGCAAACAGCACATCTGATACGCACCATAATAATACAATTGTGATTAAGTTTATATTTTTTTGTCATTTTGTGAGCGATGGTCTCACTAAATTGAATAGTATTTAAAGCCGATTTGTTGCTGAAAAGTTGAATCCCCTTTTATTAAAAAAAGCTTAAAAAAAGAGATGGAAAACAGACACAAAACGAATAACAAGTGACGATGTGTACGATATGCGATGGCGTCTAGAAGTCACTCTAAAAATGAGAAACATACACTATATATATATCTGTGAATAAAACAGACAACAAAGGAAAAGAATCATAGATATATATGAACGAGGGAGAAAACGAATAAATGTAGAAAAACAAGGGACTGGACGAAGGAAGAAAATAATTCTTCAATAGCACGTGTAGGACCTAGAAGTCACGCGGCTAACCATGTGACGAGATGATGCAATAGTATACGCATTGATCACGATTACGCGTTATGTGCAAGGCCTAGGCCTGTAACAGTCCTCCCCCCAGAGAAAAAAATGTGTTTTATCCAAATTTTCAGCAGATAGTTCTACACTGTTGTTTATTCACCGGGATTTGTGATGATACTTGTACTGTTGACGATGACTACCAGTTACTGTTCTTGTTCCTTCACCGGGCTTTGTTGGTGTTGGTTGATGGGAGTGATCAGATCTGAATGATCGATCTGTTCGTCTTGAACGAGGATCAAATGCTTCTTGATGAGCTGAATGATCTGGTCTGTTAGACCGATCTCGTGATGTTGATGTTCGACGATGAGGGAGGTAGACCTTATTATAATGTGCCTCGGTAAACCAATCACTTGTTAAGTTATCCCAGCGCTCGAAATCGTCCGGTTTCTGAAGACCAATAAATACGTGATGTGTGCCAGTTGTTGGGGATACTCGTGTGAGGACTCGTGAGTGCGGAATTCCTTTCCTATCTAACACTTCAATGATTTTTTTCGCCGACCACAATTTGTAAATATTACGTCGAATGATTTCTGTTGCAAATTTTCGAGCGCGTTGTTTCAAAGTTTTTTGACGATTCTTTCTCTTCTTTTGTAACTCCGATAGTTGGGGTTTAAGCCGCTGGATAACAGCTGATGTTAGATGTGGCTCGCTGTTCGGCTGTTGAGTATTTTCAAATGATGATGCCGGCGGTGAGGCTGAAATCAGAAAAGGATATTCTTCAGGAATAATGATAGTAAATTGTGACGGTGGTGGTGATTTATCACTTGTCGAAGGTGTGGAGTCATCTGAGATTGGTTCGTAGCTAATTGTCTGATCGATGTGATGTGGTTCTTGCTGGGACGACGGTGGATGCTGAGGTTGAATTTGTAATGGTACAGACAGTGAGAACGGAGGTGATACAAGAGGATCAACCGTTAGTGTTGAGAAACGGTTAATGGGAAGAATAGGTGTAAACGGGGTAGCTGCTTCGATATCGGACTCGTCTTCGGATGGTGGCTCGCAAGGGACTCGAACGGATGGTTGCATTAGATGTGGTTTGGGATGATTTGCCTTGGCTTTCATGAGTAGTGCAACTGCTAAACAATCTTTGATGGCATAAAGAATCCATGCTTGACGTTGTTCTCGTTGTTTGTCATTGAGATGAAATAACATTGGATCAAGACCAATGTTCCATGGGCTTAATGTCATGCGCTTATCAAGCCATAAACGGCATCCATATTCTAAGGCGTCTTGCAAAGACCATGGATCGTTCGGCTGTTTTCCGATGCAGGTATGCCAAATACATTCGTCTTCATCTGCAGGTGAAATGATGGTACGGTGAGGATGATTTGTGCGCCAATCCTCTTTAAATTCGTTTTGGACGTTGAATGTATTGGGTTGAAGAAGTTGTTCTGGCGTAAAGAGTTGATATTTAACAAATTTGTTCAATTCTTCGATATCTCCCCATGTATGAATTGCTTTGTCAGCAGCAAGAATAATAGTAAATAATTCTTGAATTAGGCTGAATTTACGACTGCCAGCAATTGGGAGATGACAGACCTCGACAAGTAGGATGATCGATGGTTGATCGAGCCGAAGAAATTGAAGCTGAATCAGAGCAGGTTGGTTTCGTTTGCCTTCTTGTGTAATGGATTCAGTATCAAGGACGTACGACGTCGTTTGTTTGGCGATCGAAATTAATTCATTTAATGTTGTTGTCGAGGTTGCCCGAGTAACGTGATATACTTGATATTGAGATGTAGGAGGATCGAAGAGTGGGAATGTTGATGCTAAGTAATGTTTATGTAATTTTTTTCGAAATTTGTTCACAGGATGTCGATTTGTGAGGATGATTAACGGTGATGATTACCAAAGCTGCTTGCTAGCAACATTCTACTGCAGGATTCCGAGTCATGAATTCGGAATCTCAGAGGATATTAAATATCCGAAACGAATTTCGGGTATTCGATGTCACGAGTAAG